ATGGTGTTATTGGATCTTTTAGTTCTAACAAAATTCCAGAAGCTTTTAACATTACTTTCAACAGAGGTTTCAACCGAATGAATGTAGTTTAAATAGCATTCTCTAGATATAATCTTGTATTGTGATCTCAATTGACTAAATATTTCATAGTTTTGGGAAGTTCTGTTTTGTTTATAAATCCTATGAGCAACTGTTTTATCTTTTTCTATCGCATCAAGTATAGCTTCTTCTAGTTCAGGTGTTGTTACAGTGTCTGCAATTCCACCAACTGCATTTTTATTGAAACTCCCAGTTTCACATAATCTTGCATGCAGCGTTGTAAATGTTTAAGCACATGGAATAACTATATTAAGATATCTGTCCTGGTAAATTCTCCGTACTTCTTCCGCATTTCCATTTGCTAATCCATAAATAAAGTGCAGGTAAGCCATGTCAGCGTTAGTAAAATTATTCGTGATGGAATCATTGCTAATTGACAACTCTGACTTTCACTGACATGACAATTGAATAGAACTGGTCGATACTTGATGAAAATCCATATTAAAACTAATTAATACAGTTTGAAATAATAATTATTTTACGGTGGAGGAAGCTATTGTATAGCGAAACACGTGTCGCCGTATAATGAATTACCAACTGAAGTTTCGTACCGTAATAATTAGGAAACACCTTGTATATGACAGCAATTAAAATTCCAATCATGCAATTGATTGAATTATAACTAATTAAATGGTTTGGGAAGATGCTCGTCTATCATCTAATTAGATGAAGACATAATTTTTAATACGTTTCAATTTCTTCCGATTGTTGGAGGGTTTTTCGAAAGTTTTTTGCAGTTATAGTTTGAGTGAAAACTGATTTTCGCAAAAATTTCCCTGAAAACCATATTTTTTCAAATACATATCGTAACTATTCGAATAAATATAGGTCATGTGTTTTTCAGAATATACTGGCCACATGGCAAATATCTTTTAAACCATGAGTAATCGTTCTTACGAGTTCAAAAAGTTTCAAAACCCCAGTATTATTGGCGTGCAGTTTGTTAAATCTCGGACAAATGAATGAAATATCCAGATTCAGTAATATTCCGAAATAAACCCGATATTTTACATTGTCCCCTGGACAGAAATTCTAAAAACAGTCGCGAGCCTTCGTAAAAAAACAATGAAATGACGCCACAGCTGCCTTTTCGAAATAATTCATATAAATATGAGATGGCTTGATGTGTATAGTATAGTTTACGGTTTTTCAGTCTTCTTAGCATTTTTTATTCCGTTTTTTGTCAGGCCAACAACACGTGTTCGAAGCACGCTGAGCTACAAAAAGGCCTCTATAAGAAATAAGAATTTATAATTACATTATACATAACGCAGGAGAGCTTTCAGTCTATATTTAAAATATTTACAAACTGAAAGTGCACTAGAACATGGTTTTTATAGACAGATGTACTTGCAAAAATATAATATCAAGGATACTTTATGGAATGAAACAGAAAATAATAATGGTGATTTATTGCAGGAGTAAAAATACATTTTCTCTGAAATGGTTCGACTTTTAACTAATTATGGTTCATTTTCATGTGATTTGTATGAAATGACAGAAGAACTACACCTACCTATGTAACCATTCTCCACTTAGCGAAAAATGTTTTTTTTTCGGAATAGAACAGAGGTTCCCAAACTCTTTTTGTTTGTGGCTTCTTGAATAATCCGTTTTTTTTTTCGAGGCACCCTTAATACATCTGAGTTTTTCCTAAATTTTCGACTTTCTTGGATGCGGAATGGAAAGAAAACAATAAAAGATACGAACGTTACTTAATTCCTGAAATTTTGTAAGCATACACAATACTGAACATTTTGTTCGTATTTGCTGAGTTTTATTTATTTATTTATATTGTGATGGTTGTGATATTCATAATCATACACTTTTATGTTGTGGTTTTATTTTTTTATATTCATACATACATCTTGACAACTTGATGTAAGTGACAATTGTAAACATTCATACCAACCCACTATTTCATAATACAAAATATAATCTGACAAATATTTACCAACCCAACAGTATTGCTTCTCGCAAACGGAGCATAACTTCTAGAAAATACTCCTCATCTGAAAATGATTGACAATGTTTCATGATAAGTTTTACAAGTTCGGACTTTCATTGTCTAATACGATTTGAAATTTACGATTCGAAATTTTCGAAAGAACAAAGACAAAGTACAGAAACAATTCCACGAGTGTTGCGAGTCAAAATAATAAACATATTCCGAGGAGTTGCATATGAAATGCCCAAGTTCAGGTGAAAAACATATTAAACCTTGCCTCTCATGTGAATCTACGACTAGTAAGTATCTTCGTGTGACGAATACCTGACGCAAGAAGCAGCAATTAACTCAGCTATTGCCGCGCAGAAAGCTAAAAGGTTTGTTCTGGTTCTACGAAATCCAGGTTCTAGGACGTCAGGATCATGCGCAGTTGATATAGAGCGTTCTAGTTTTTTGAGGATAATTTCGGATTGATGAATTCACTGTTGTGGTTTCGACTGCGAAATGATCCTAAACTGTCTTGAACCGACCCAAATCGTTCTTGCTCTCGATCGGTTTGTTCTGGTTCTAACATCCGAAACTGTTTGGAAACTGCGCAAGACATGATGCGTATAAACAAAAAGTCTCAAACAGTTCGAAATAGTCTCGGACACTTGTTTAAACCAGAACGCTTTTGAGGAGACCACTGTAGTGCCACCTATCGTATATTTATTTGATTTAAATAATTGATGATTGAGGTTAGATAACATTTGAACTGACTACAAAAATACGCTACATAACAAAATGGACATGATCAACAGTATGTTCTTCATATATACGATAGGTGGCACGGTGGTCTCCTCAAAATGCGTTCTCGATTAACCAAGTGTCCGAGATGTTAGAACCAGAACAAACCTAAAGCACACCTAAAGTAAAACCATCAGACACCTGTGCAACATTATCCATTTTGAAGATTCGTCGCGAGTAACTTCCTACATATGAAAATCAGATTTTCATTTCATTTAGTCGGGACGACCACCGATAGTCCGATTCCGCAGTACTTGCTCCTCGTCAGTACCGAAAAGTCATTTCAGACGGAGTAAAGGCAAGTTCATATTAGAACGATTGCGATATTTTTGCGGTTCCGCAAATTTGCCTCAATTGTCAAAATACCCTGTTCATGTTGAAGCGGGCAATATCTAGGGATTTCCATGTTGAATTTTAAATTTTATTACATGAACCTGAATGATCACATACGACTCATATGAATTACGACTTTTAAGACCAGACTCCATCATATCAGAATATAGGACTAACAATTTTCTCAAGTTTTGTTTGATAGGAGCGTGTCCTCAAACCACTTATCTTAACGTTACTGCCTGCAGGGGCGAGGGGTTCTTTTGCAAAATGAGTTTTCTTCAATGAGGGGCCTTATATATCGGGAGGGAAATGTCTACACCATAATCTATAGCTTCCCTAACTAACGGATTTTCGTGAGTTTCAGCATTATCACTCGCCGATTCCTCGACCGAATGGACTGCTGAATGGAAGGCAGCTGCAAATCTCTGCGGATGGCTTCATTCCGCATGAACCACGGAGCATTCACAATCATCCGTATCAACTTATTTTGTAATCTCTCCAGGATGGAGATGTTAGACGGAGCCGCTTGTCCCTAGACGCCTGAAGCATACATGATGACAGGCTTGAACATCGTGTTGTAGATGGTAATTTTGTTTTTGAGACTCATTTTTGATTTCCTGTTGATCAGAGAGAACAGACTAGCTATCCGACCCTCGTGTAGAGAGAGTATAACGTGGGAGAGAGCACAGCTCCCTCTGCTGTGGCACTCCAACGATGATCTCTTTGTTGTCAGACAGAGAACCCTCTTCTCTAACCTGAAATGTTCTGTCTTTCAGGAAAGACCCAATCCACCGGATCAGGCCCCGAGGCAGATCGAACGCGACTAGCTTATGCAGAAGACCTTGGTGCCATACACGGTCGAAGGCCTTCGAGATCTCTAAAAGTACGACATGGACTTTTCGGTTGTGGTTTAACTCTGCGATGGTGTTTTCGACCAGTCTCAGAGCCTGTAGCTCAGTGGAGTGTTCTCTCCTGAAGCCGAATTGTTCGTCAGGCAGAACATTTTTGTCCTCAACTTTTTCGTTGAGTCTTTGCAGAACGACCCTTTCAGCCAGCTTAGCCGCCGACGAGTGCAGACTGATCGGGTGATAGTTATGTGGGAACAGCGGGTTCTGACCTTGTTTTGAGATCACGACGACGATCGCATGCTTCCACCTTCTAGGGAACTATCTGAGGGTCAACGAGCTGTTAATGATTCCCGAACACACAAAATTAATTCCAACTAGTCACAAACTCTATCTGCAGTTGACTCAGTAGGGTGTCTACTGCGCCACCTGCAGACAAATTCCGGAAACAACTCCACAAACATATACTCCGAGGTGGGAGTAAGAATATTAAACACATTCCGAAGAGGTGCATATGACATGCCCAAATTCAGATGAAAATCACCTTATACCTTGGCTCTCATGTGAACCTACGACTTTGTAGGTACGTGTGACAGATGCCCGACGGAAAAACAACTACTAACCCAGCTAATGTCGCGTAGAAAGCTGAAGTAAAACCGTCAGGCACCTGTGCAACATCTTCCATTTTGTCGCAAGTAACTTTCTATTTATGTTAAGACGTTGCACAAGTGCCTGATGGTTTTACTTTGGCTTTTTGTGCGGCATAAGCTGGTTTAGTTGTTGTTTTTCCGTCGAGCATCTGCCACACGTACCTACAAAGTCGTAGGTTCACATGAGAGGCAAGCGTAAGGTGTTAAGATCCAAGTTGCCTTATGCATGTGCTCTGCTTGGTAGCTTTTAAGTTCAGCTACCAAGCAGAACATATTAATATGGCAAGTGGGATTTTTTGATTAACTTCATTCATGGTGACTTATGATTAATAAAAAACGTTTGAATTTATGAAGTTTTTTATTGATTAACAAATGTAAAGTATCTTATTGTGAAGTCTCATAATGTATTCAACACGTTGCCTACCGTAGCGCTGAAACCAATTTAATAATCAACACTTGCGAACTTCCTTATTTCTATACTGTAGTTCGAAAATAGAAGGCAGTAAACTCTCATAAATTACTGAGGAAATTACATATGAGGAAAAATGATAATGAAATATATAGAATCACAAACTTGACAACAATGTTTTCGTTTTGATGCTATAATATTTCTGAGAATTCAGTGCCTTCTATTATGGAATTGAATTATAGTAAAATATTTGCAAAAAAATGACCGAAACGACAACCAACGTGTGAACTAACTTTGAGGAAACTTCTGTATGAGGAAATTAACATTTCCTTTTTTTAAAGATATCAACATGTTTTTCAGTCCGAGAGGAGATATTTTTGTATAAAGTTGTATATAATGAGTTTCTTTGTCTTTGAAAGTCACTGAATTTTAAGAACTGAAAATGCATATAAAATATGAATACATATGATGGAAATATTTGCAATAATACTGAACTATTTGTCATATTGGATATAACTTGTGTTTTGGGTAATCCAATTAAATTATCACCCAATAATTTTTCATGTGAGTAATTGACACTAATTAAACTACATGAAAAATTACCAAGCCTACACCCACATACACTTTACACTTTCACATCTTCTTTATCATTGTCTTCATCACCGTCATAAAACTCATTTTTTGCATCGACTAATTTATCTTCCAAATCCTGACTTATTCTAACATCAGGGTCATCTTCTTCTTTCGATTTCTCGTCTTCGGTAAAGGCTGGACCCGGAACATCATGCATTTGTACACTGGGCGAATGCTGACACATTTTTAAATTGTCGAAAGTGTATCTGAAAATGAGTGTTGTTATATTGATCTATTCTGAAAATTTCACTAAATTGAAACTCAAAGGCAACCAAGACAAGAGATGACCCACAGATTAGAAGAAAAGCCAGTTAAAATCATATTCTTAATATCAAATAATTGTTAAATATTTTTAGTTTAATATTAAGGTCCTACTGAGAATTAGTACAGTATTTCGTAATAATTTTTGTCAAAAGTATTTAATAAATTATAACTATACAGTAAAATCTCCTTATTCACGGTTTCCTTATTAGCAATGGAGAAATTCCAACCCAGTTTCTATATTCGCGGCTAAAAACGTCTTATTCAGTAAACACAAAAGTTCAGTGTCGTTTATTAACGCGTCGGCATCCTTTAAGTACTGCAGGCACATGACGACTCGGCTTTAATAAAGGATGTAACCAAATGGACTATGGATCAAACTGAAACAAACCTGTATTTCATCAGTTCGGACTTCCATTGTCTAATATAATATAAATTGATTTGAAATCCCTGAAAGAAATTAAAAAGATTAACCAAAAATAACAATTTTATTAAACAAAAAAACCGAAATTACAAAGAAATATCATACAAGCAACAACCGAAAGAAAAAAAATTGAAATAATAATAAAAGCTGGAAATTAAAAAATATTTTTAACAAAAAATGATAGTATAAGTTGACATGTTCGATACCATGTAGTTGGTCCATGAATGAATAAATTTCTTTCTTTCTTTCTTTCTTTCAAACAAAAATAAAACAAACCTTACTGCTGCTTACCTAAAGGTCATTATGAAATGCCGCTATCGCCACGTATTTTATTGTTTCAACTCGCCATTGGTTAAAAAAAATTGATTGAATAAGATGTATCTCTTCTACTGTGTTCTCAATTCATAATGTCAAGTAAAAAAAAAATGTTCCGCTCAAAGTAAAAATAGAAATTCTAGACCGTTTACGCCTTGGTGAGTCTTTTGCATCCATATCACGCTTTTTCAATGTTAATGAACCGACTGTACAATTCATGAAGAAGTCCGAAGACAAAATGAGGAATTCTATAGCTTGCAGCTCACTATCAGCAAAATTTGTTTGTGATCCAGTAATAGAAAAAATGGAAGCTGCCTTATCACTATCGTAACCAGAAAAGAGTGTCACTAAGTGGTCCTTTGATCCGCGACAAGAAAAGCGTCTCATCAAAGAACCTGGTGATGAACGCACACATAGAGGATTTCAAGCATCGAAGAGATGGTTCAGTAAATTCAAGTTGCCAGTCATTGCATAACATTAAAATTGCCGGAGAAGCTGCATCCGCCGGAAAAATATCCTGAAGAATTTTCAAAGTTAATGGCTGAGCAAGTGCTTAATGCGGATGAGACCACCCTATTTTGAAAATATATGCTAAACAAAACTTTCATACCTAAAAGTGGAGAAGTCCCCACCTGGTTTCAAGGTAGCAAAGGACAGAATAACACTGCTGCTCTAACGCAGATGCGTTGGAACAGAGCAGATCCTTGAATCCTCTTGCTTTAAAATATCGAAACACCCTGTCAATATTCTGGGTTGCAAATAAAAAAGCATGGGTTACAAGTGCTATTTTGTAACTGTGTTGTCCTTGAAGTTGAAACTTATTTGAAGAAAAGTAATTGGACTGATTCCGTAACTGTTTTATCCTTAAAGTTGAAACGTATTTGAAGAAAAGTAATTTGGGCTTTAATCTAGTTTTGGACAATGCCCCAGGTCTTCCAAGTCATAAGTCAACGAAATATAAAAAGTCCCCTTTGTATAATGCCATAAATCTGTATAATAAATTACCAGAGCAGATCAAACAAATTACCTCTGATAAAGTGTTTCATGGTAGAGTAAAGCAATTGCTGCTGCAAAAATGTTACTACAGTTGTGATGAATTCCTGGAAGATGATTTCCGTTGAGCAATGATTTCACTAATTTTTTTCCTCTTACTATTATTTAGTGTTATCTTCGACGCCTGTTCCATATTTTTACTAAGGAATTTATATACGTGTCTTGTCTATATATGTGTATGTATGTGTGTATGTTTATATATGTGGGTGTGTATATATGTGTATGTGTGTATATATGCATATATGTATATACACTTATATGATAAATGAAATACCTACCTATTTTATTCGTATCACGCTGTTATTGAGTTATTGACATACCATATGTATATACTGTACCTCAGTGGCAAATCAATAAATAAATAAATAAATATCCCCTACGATTCTATACTAATTACCATTCCTCCGCGGTTTTTGTACTCTCGGCATATTTATGGAACTTATAACCCGCGAATAAGGAGCTTTTACTGTATTCCACTCACTTCGTTATTGCTTCCAAATATTGTTTGCTATTAGCATTGTCTATTCTTGTCACTATTTCTGGATGCAAAGTAAAATCTGGAGCAAAATATTCAAGGTATTCTGTAAATGGTAGTTCATTTGATATTTGTTCGTCTACAAGTAATGATGTTTCGTATGTCCAACATCTAGCTACATTTCTCAATGTATATCCGCCACCACCTACAACCAAAGTTGGCACCCTGAAGTTCTTCACGAATTTGACGCATTCACCATGGCCCTTGGTGCTCAAAGAAAACAATCCTAACCTAGAAAATAAATTCAAAAAAATGTTAAAGAAAGACTATCCACCAAATCGAATTAATTGAGAAAATTACCTATCCATAGCCAGTGAGTCAGCACCGCACTGTAAAACAATTGCAGTGGGTTGATAAAACTCCATTACGTTTGATATAACTGGTTTGAATACATGCCAATAGCTCATGTCATCGATACCTTCTTTCAAAGGAACGTTTACAGAATAGTACCGACCACTCTCTGCTCCTATTTCATACATATCTCCTGTGCCTGGAAATGATATGAGAGAATAATGATAATAATCTACTATATAAAAATGCACTAGTCTACTATACAAAGATGGACATTTGTTGGTTGGTTGGTTGGTAAGTGATAAACTTCTACATCACTCAACCGATCGCGATGAAACTTGACATGTATATGTATAAGTAATTTTTCATGGAGAAGGTTTTTAGGCTATCAATTTTTCTGTAACTCGCCACTAGATGGCGCTGCAGAACAATTTTTTGAAAGCACTGTTTTATAACGCTGCGCACGCCTAAGTTCGTTGATTCTGATTCTGCCAAAACATTGGAACAGCAGCGATACAGCAACATTGTACTAGTAAATTATATATCCTTCAAATCATTTACATGATAAAGGTTGAAATCATTCACATGATATAGGTCGAGTCCAGTCAAATAATAATAATAATTTTATTAGTCTCAAGAAACACATAGTTTTTGACACGTCAATACAATTTCTAAAATAGGTTTGAGAGGATCAGATTCGTCAATATAGTTTTTAAAAATGCTTGTAGATAAATTAGATTAACAAAAACATACAAGTTAACAAGATTATGCTTCTTACTGCAGATTTTTGAATGACAAATATTCTATTAAGATGTACCTTTGATGCATTATTCCAATTGATTATACCATACCTAAGGACTGAATGAAAAAGTGAATGATATATTTTGCAAGTGCCGCACTCTGATTTACTATTTTTTCAATTCTTCTGATAGCAAAAACTGTCTTACTAAGTTTACTACACATGCTATTTATCCATTTCAGGTTGGAATCTATTTGTACTCCCAAAAATTTGGTAGAATTTTTGTTGTCTCGATTTAAGCAAATTGTTTCAAAAGTTAGAGTAGTTAGAGTTTTTGTTTTTTGTTCATTGAGAATCGAGTGTAAGTGTAAACAATGATCGAGCTTTCTCTAATATGTCAGTATGGATCATATGAGAATCATCTATTTTATATATTTTTTTGCCCAAGGTTGCATCATCTTCATACAATATTAGTTTTTATGAATATTACTGGAGTTTTTTTCCCAACACCAAATCGTTATTTTTAACACCTCAACACGTGTTTCGATCACCAAGTGATCATCTTCAAAGAGGAAGATTAAAACAGTGTTAATCTTTCCTTTCATTTCCCCCACTATATTTTTGGACAAATTACAAAGCAAACTTTCAACAGTGTCGGGTAAGGTATTATATAATATCCTACCGAAATGACTCAATGACTTCAAGCACAATGACAAGGATGAAATGTACATTACTTTTCATTCTGGTATTTCATCATGAATTGACTCATTTTTCTTTTCATAAAATTTTCTTCATTTTTACTCACATATAACATAACTTCTAAAATGTAAATTTTAGCAAGAGAGAGAGAGAGAATATGCTTTATTATTCAAAGATACAAAATCTCGACAAAGTTGAGGCCTAAAACAATATTAAATTAAGGTAAAGTAAAATACACACACAGAAATAAGAAATATAACAATAAGTCGATACCGACATTATTCTAGAATCTCATACCTACAACAATATACAAAATCTAGCACATGAGAAACATCTTGCAACATATTCAAACATGCTTGAGTTAGAATGTGTCATTATAAAATTCTTGTAAACTACAGAAGAGTTTATCCGAAAGGAAAGCTTTTACTTTCTGAAGTGTTCAACTTTACTTATTTCTTTAATGTGTTTTGGTAAGTGATTGAACATGTTACCGTTTCCATAAGTTACTGCATCTTTAATTAGTGTCAGTGATCAGATCGTGAGTTTAATGTTGCCAGCTTGATTGGCAGCGAGAAGTGTAAGTAGTGTCAAATTTGTGAATACTGTTGACATTTTATGTTTAACAAAAAACGGTTTACAAGAATCTCGAATTCTTACTTTGCACATGTATTTTACTGCACGTTTTTGTAGTACAAAAACAGAGTCTATGAGATTTTTATAACACACCCCCAGAATAGTACACAACCTTGGCGGAAGAAAGACCAAATTCATTCGATGTTACTCTTACTGCAAAACATCCAAAGGACAGTGTTTTATTTAAATTTGAAATATGTTCATCAAACTTCAGTCTGCAATCTATACGAACACCAAGAAATCTTGTATGTTTAGCGCTTCCTATAACATCCTCACACATGACAAGCTCATTTAATTCACCTTTGAAAGACATAATATTAGTTTTTGACATACTCATGGATCACCACCTTTTCATCTTATATATATCATCCCTGATAATTTCAAGAAGTGTTTGTTATTCCAAATTATTCTCGTATCATCCACAAACAGCATTATTTTTTATAAAATATTTATACTGGCCAAGTCAATTATGTACAGTAAGAAGAGAGGTGGTCCGAGTATTGACCCCTGAGGCACACCACATTCTACATCGGAGTATTTTGTCGTTTCAACAACTTGGCTTCGAGCTGAGATATATGATTCAAACCATTCCTGAATAAATTACAACAGGAGACTCTTTGCGATACATTTTTATATGTACTAAGTTTAAACTAACTGTTGATTCTGTGATCACTTCCATTGAGCATTTTCTTGTCAAATATTCATATTATAGTTTATTACAAATGGACTGACCTGTTACTTGATGAAAATTATCAACACTATCCATGATTCTAATTAAAAAATGTTCACAAACATTTCTGATTTGTAGACGCGATTCACAAACACCATAGCTTCTTCGGTAAAAATGAATATTGTATTCAAAAAACACTTTTGTGAGATTTTCACTAAACAGTTTTACAAAAACGCAACACGTGTTTTGCCATGCAATGGTATCTTTGGGCGTGTTTTTACTCTCCATATTGGACAGATAGATAGTTATTGGTTTCTAGTTCTATTGTGTATTTAATGAATGTGTTTTTGTCAATTGATTATGACACAAACATATACTAATATAACATAAAATAGCATTTTGCATAACAATGTATAGAAGCAATACTCACCAGGGAAGAAATAATTGCCATATTTGTGAAAACTAACTGTCATAACTCGGTCTGTCAAGTAAAAAGCTTCCTGAACACCATCGCCATGATGAACATCAATGTCAATGTACAAGACTCTTGGATTGTATTTCAGTAATTCCAAAATTGCAATAACTATGTCATTAACATAGCAAAACCCTGAAGCCTCAAATTTTTTAGCATGATGCAAACCCCCTGGAAGTTCAATAAAAATGTTGGCAAGCTGTTAAAGGAATAAATATTTGATAACACAAACCTGACCAGTTGATTGCAATGTCACAATCATCGTTATTCAATTTCATGGCTCCTTCAAGAGAAGCACCTGTATACATTGAACAAAAATCAAATAGACCATAGAACACAGGGCAATCGTCACCCACGTTGTAGTGACTGAGATGCTTAGTAAAAGCTTGAATATTTTGTGGAGTTACTTTCTGGAGAAAATCTTGAAAAAAACAATAAAAATGATTAAACAAATCTCGGCCCAGGTGGTAAAAACGGTAAAGTTTTACCCATTGATTTAATGGAAATGTTGTAGCCATGTTTGCCAAAAAATAAAATAATTATTTTTGAAACTTTCTTAATCTAACTACTTATTACTTTAATTCTACCTAGTACAATCCTTCTTACAAAATACCTCAGAGTTTAATCTTACCCCACTTTTATTTTAATCGTGTTACTGAATATACAGACATGTTGAAAAATCAGTTTATCCTTATGTACTGGGTCTCCCATCTAGGTTGCATTACTTGAAAAAAAGATTAGTTAAAATTGTTTTTCTATCAATCAGTAGAGCAACCCTCAGAAGTCATAACATGTGCAAACTAGATCAACTAGGTCTTACCTTCTAAGAGCCAATTGACTAACCAGAAATCGAATGTTCATTAAATCAATGCTGTAAAACTTTGGAGTCGCTATTTCTATAAACGATCAACTTACCTATGTATTCATCAGAATGAAATCTACACATGTCATGTGCACTGGCTTTATAAGGCCTATAAATCTGCATATGTTTATGAAGACCATAATTTAAAATCAAACTATGTATAACTGATAGCCTGTGAGGCTTCATAGGGTGACCTGTCCCATAATGAAAGTTTCCAACGTCTGGGTTGAAAAAGTACGAGACCTTTTGTTTGGACATTGTGCTTCTGAAACTTTTTGTGAACTGAAAGTGCTTTCAATTTGTGCCGTTAGTCGTCGTCATGCCCAAAAATTTGTTGACAAGCCCAAATGAACATAAGAACAAGCGCCACTGCTAGCAAACGTCTCGTTGTTCTGAATCTATCATTCATGTGTTCGATTATTAAAATGCTAATTATTCAGAATGATTTTCTACTAGTTCGTCGAAATAAAAGATACAAAAATATTGAGAACATTTACACTTTGTTCTTTGTTTACTAACATTTAATATAACCCCTTCCTACTCTTCTTCTAAATAATTTTTGGGCATGGTCATTAAGTCATCGATCCAGATTATCATTTAAGAAACCCTGGTGTTTTTACCGATTTGGTTTTGTTTTTTATAAGCTCTGGACGCGAGAGATTTTATACAATACTTTTCCATTGTGGGAAATCGAATCAGCCGTTCCTGAGTAATTATCACTTTTATTTTCGTTCAAATAATCTGTAAATAAACTATAAATATCCAAATTTAACGAAAACATTTTGGAAAACTCACTTCAGTTCATTCTAATAAGTGTACAGTGTTTATCATTTATTCCCTGACAATAATGAAGTCTAATCACACATTTTTTCTACGTTACAGAATGTTCCGCAAGCCCCTATTTTTTTATCCACGAGCTCTGAAATTAATTGAGGTTTTGATTTTCTACCATCCGTGAAAATCTCAGAATAATAAAAAATATATACTCTGAGGTGAAAACTTATATCGTCAGTGACTGAACTAAACATGTGAAATTGAATATTTGGAAGCAGTTTTTAGAAAAATTTGGATGAAAGATTTTCTGATTTTGTCACAGTGAGGGTCTCCTAACTATAAAATCAATTTGAGGTTCGATAGTCACAATAAAAATATTCTCTTTGAAATTATAAAACCCTTCATAAATATTTCACAGGCGAGCAGGTGGGGAACGTTTATACTCTTTTTTACATTTCATCAGAATTGGCAACATGGCATCATAACTTTATGTCAAATGACCGGAAGTGTACATTTTTAAAGGTTATGTTATCTTGTAGTAGTTTTCGGCTTTATTTTTGTGGTTAATAAATGAATATTTTTGCAACTATTTTTTGTCTCCAGTGTTAGAAATATTGTATTATCCTTCAAAATTGCATCATACTTTCTGAGTATTGATCGTTATTGATAATTCAGGTAACATATATGAGGATTTGTCTGTCAAACTGCCTCAATTTACTTGAGAATGGTATCCTTGGTAGTTCGATTGAACTCATTTATAGAATACAGGCACGAAACAGAAATTTAATGTTTTTTTGAAAATTTTCGGAGTTATGCCTTTTTACATTTTTTTTTTCAATCCATATTATTTTAGTTCTGCCTATTGCTTGTTTCTACTCTTGCCGTTCAGTAGTGGTAAAAACTAAGAACTGCTTCAAGGAATAAAATGAATAATAGGCAAATATGAGAAAATGCAACATTCAAATAAAGTAACATGAAATTTATTATATTAAAAATTACAAGTAAATACAACATTCAAAAAAAGTAACATGAAATGTGTATATTAAAAATTACAAAGTACAAAAAATGATTTACATCAGTCTTTCATCCACATTGACTATTTCTCATTTATCACAGCATAGTTGATACTATCAAAATCTTATCGAGAAGTCTCATAATATATTCATCACATAAAACTTTGGCAAAATTCCTTATTTCTAGTAAAATATTTACAAAAAAATGACTGAAACGGCAGCCAGTTAACTAATTTTTTTTTTTGGATCAATAGATATGTTTTTCAATCCGATATGAAATATTGTTTATATACAGTTATTGAAAATAAGTTTCTTCGTCTTTGAAAGTCACTGAATTTTGAGAAATGAAAGTGTTACATGTATGAATACAAATGATGAAAATATTTGCAATATTGAACTATTTATCATCATTGAATATAACTTGTGTTTCGGGTAATCCAATTAAATGATCACCCAATAATAATTTTTCAAGGCTACACTCACACTTTATCATTGTCATTATCACCGTCATAAAACTCATTTTTTGCATCAACTAATTTATCTTCCAAATCCTGACTTATTCTAACATCAGGGTCATCTTCTTCTTTCGATTTTTCGTCTTCGGTAAAGGCTGGACCCGGAACATCATGCATTTGTACACTGGGGGAATGCCGACACATTTTTAAATTGTTGTAAGTGAATCTGAAAATGAGTGTTATGTTAATCTATTCTGAAAGTTTCACTACATTTAAATTCAAAGGCAACCAAGAAAAGAGATGACCCACAGATTAAAAGAAGAGGCAGTTGAAACCATATTCATAATTTCACATAATTGTTGAATACTTTCAGTTTAACATTAAGGTCTTACTGACAATTAACGTGTTTCATAATATTTTTCCTTGAAAGAATATAATATATTATTACTATATTCTACTCACTTCGTTATTGCTTCCAAATATCGTTTGGTATTTACTGCAAAACATCC